ATCTATATTTAATCAATTTTAAATTCAGTCTGTAACACAACAAAATGTGGAAAAAGTCAAGGGGTGTGAATACTTTCTGAAGGCACTGTATATATGCACTAATGCAGCATTGAGACCTGAATATCACACACATATCATATTGTTGCAAATAATTAATTTAATACAAATAGTCAGCATGTTCATGACATGCCCAAGAGGGCAGAGGACAAAGAAAGGTAAAGAAGAATACTGATTGAGATACAGGTCTTCCATGATGGATTCATATAAGTACTACATAGGAGACAACCAAAGAAAATAAAACATGGAACAGAAGAGGCAGGATTAGTAATAAATAATACAGGCAAGGTATTGTTTTGGTAGAGCCATTGCCCTTCTCTGCTGAATTCATTAGGGAAGATATACTGTATATAGTGTTTCTCAAATGGCACACTATTCCCTATAAAGTGCACTATTTTTGACCAGGGCCTCATTTATAACCATTGCGTAAAATGTTACACTAAATATTTGCATGCGCTATTTCTGGAAATACTGCGCAAGCACAAAAAGATTGAGATTCATAAACTTGGCGCACGTCATACATACATCTTTCTCTTTATAAATCCGACCTGTCTTAAAAATTTGCGCGTGAACAAGCATTATAACTCCTCCTGAATAATGCCCATCATTCACATTTTATGGTGACAATAATGCCCTTATTTGCTGTATACGTTGGAAGCATTGGAATTAGGCCACAACAGTATATCTAAAGGAAATATCAATGGAAAACTTGATCAAATGTCTTTGGTGGTGTTGGCAGAATGTTTTTTTTTGTGTGTATGACATGTGCTGTATCTGACCGTTTCTGAAACACAAAAACAATTGCAAATTGTTGTGGACCTGTTAACAGATCATTTGAATTCAATCATGTTTTGCATTTACTTTTTCCCCAACCTAAATATGCTGCACTGCCCGCGGATTCTGAAACATTGTCTACTCTGATATATATATATTTTTTAAACTACAGTAGGCCTACTTACTGTGGTAGCCTTCACGCGTCAATACAAAAGATCAACGTTCTGTTCGACTGTTAAATTCTACTATATGTTACAAACCACACACTTTTGGATGCATAGAGCAAAAACTTGAAATTATAATAGCCTATCTATCTAATAGGCCCAATGAAATGAGAGATGTGCATGTTAATTTGTTGTATGGCTACTTCAGGAATATTAACTCATGGCCAGAAAAGGTGCAAAGGTTATGATATATGTTTTGTTTATAAATTAAATATTGTTAGGCTACTCGAGAAGTTTTACAATACAGTATTCAGACGTATCCTTCAAACGTCAACGGAAAAGCTGCACCGTCTGTTCTACCGTTAAACTGCGCTTGGATCAAGCAAAATACTGGTAGCTTATCTATTTACTACTGTGAAGTGGGTCCAATTAAATGAGATGGGACAAATGGTATCATATCTTTACTTGTTGTAGGCCTATAGGCTATTTCGCGATTATGAAACCATCACAATCAGGAAAGGTGAGGATTTTATTCTGCAATGATCATGGAAATTAAATAATCAAATTATTTTAGAATGCAAAGAAAATAAAGATTTTCGCTCTTCTCAATAACAGAAACTGATTGCATCTTGTTATATTTAGCTACCAGTTTTTTTTGTTATGAATAAGTCATATTTCCCATTTGCACAAGGCTACTAGGGTACTTTTGCCTTCTTGCAATGCAATACTTCAACCACTAGAAACTGTGCGTCTAAAGTTTGCGGGAGATTAAACACACTCTCACGTCAAGTAGTTTTTATAAATGCCAACTTTTCTGTGAAAACTGGCGCATGAATGTTTTGGGGGATATTTTGTGAGTATGCAACATTTATAAAATGAGGCCCCTGGTCAAAAGTAGTGCACTATATAGGGAATAGGGGGCCATTTGAGACATAGATACAGTATAGCTAGAGGTCAACATGTAGGCCTATAGGGGCTGCCTGCATCTGTGGATCTACAGCAGATATGTACAGTTTCTTAAATAATTCCCTATTTCTTCTCAAATAAGTTGAAATTGAAAAAAACTGTCCCCAAACTTTATTGGATTTTCAACATTGCAGAACCAAATGTATTTTTGTAAACTTAAGTTTACAATTTTAACTGAGAAAACAAAGACAAATGGCATGGACAAAATTGGCACCACAGAGCTAGTACTTGGTTGCACAGCCTTTGGCCAAGATAACTGCCAACAAATGCTTATTGTAGCCATCAATGATCTTGCTGCACCTTTCTACTGGCAATTTGGCCCACTCTTCAGCAGAAAACGTATCTAGTTCTTCAATGTTTGAAGGGTGCCCTCTGCCAACTGCTGTTTTCAGCTTTCGCCATAGGTTATGGATGCGATTTAGATCTGGACTCGTCACTGGCCACTCCAGAAAAGTCCAGCGTTTCTTCTCGAAACATTCCAGGGTGATTTTTGTGTGTGTTTGGGGTTGTTGTCCTGCTGGAAGACCCACAATCATCAACAGACTGTTTCTTGGCACTGGGTTGAACATTGCACTCCAAAACACGTTGATAATCTGCTGATTTCATTATATCGTGCACACATTCAAGGACCCAGTACCAGAAGCAGCCTAAAACAACCCCACAGTATCATCGAAGCTCCCCCATAATTGATTGTAGGGAGGGTGTTTTTTTATTTGAACACTTCATTAAGTCATTGGTAAACATAGGAAGACCCCACTGCTGAAGGAGACAAGAAAGCGTGATTGAACTTTAAAAACCCCCACCTAATCAAGCCTAAATCCTGGGGGAAATGTTCTGTGGACAATACAACTAAATGAAATCACTAGCCTCTCTCTTCCAGCTGTTCCCATGCACAACAGGCTATTGCAGGGGTAGACAGCAGTTTGGGGGACAACTTCAGCATTGATTCATATGCCTCCAAACACACAGAAAGTACATGCTTACACACACACAAAGGCTTGCAGTCATTGCTTTGATCAAATATGAATTTAGGACAACAGTCGAACAATAAGACAATATGCATTTACATTGCAACCAACCCTTGCTCAATACACTTGAATGTTAGTTGACATTTTTATGGCCAAACAGGGAGTCAATGCATTCAGCACATCGATTAAGAAGAAAATCTAAATAATTAGGAAATAAATGTTATGCGCAAATAATGCTAAGACTTTAGTCCATGGGAAGGTTCAATGTATACATTTGAGAATGTTAAACAATTTTAATAGATATTATATCATACATACCAGTAACAAATAATCAAGTACTGTACTAGAGAACCTACATTGCATCTTTTTTATCAGTCTTCTCTAAGCTCTGGACCACTGGAACACAACAGCAAGTCCATGTTAGCCATAAATAAAACTTACATACATAAATATACACTACTAGACCAAAAGTATGTCGACACCTGCTCGTCGAACATCTCATTCCAAAATTATGGGCATTAATATGGCGGTCGACCCCCCCCCCCCCCCCCCCTTTGCTGCTATAACAGCCTCCACTCTTCTGGGAAGGCTTTCCACTAGATGTTGGAACATTGCTGTGGAGATTTGCTTCCATTCAGCCACAAGAGCATTAGTGAGGTCCGGCACTGATGTTGGGCGATTAGGCCTGGCTCGCAGTCGGCGTTCCAAATAATCCCAGAGCCATTCAAGTTCCTCCACACCGATCGACAAACCATTTCTGTATGGACCTTGGAAGCACAGAATCGTCTAGAATGTCACTTTAGCGTTAAGATTTCCCTTCACTGGAATTAAGGGGCCTAGCCCGAACCATGAAAAACAGCCCCAGACCATTATTCCTCCTCCACCAAACTTTACAGTTGGCACTACGCATTCTGGCAGGTAGCTTTTTCCTGGCATCCGCCAAACCCAGATTTGTCCGTCGGACTGCCAGATGGTGAAGCGTGATTCATCACTCCAGAGAACTCGTTTCCACTGCTCCAGTATCCAATGGCGGCGCGCTCTAGACCACTCCAGCCAACGCCTGGCATTGCACATGGTTATCTTAGGCTTGTGTGCGTCTGCTCGGTCATGGAAAACCCATTTCATGAAGCTCCCGACGAACAGTTATTGTGCTGACGTTGCTTCCAGAGGTAGTTTGGAACCCGGTAGTGAGTGTTGCAACCGAGAACAGACTATTTGGACCAACTCCATACTAATGCCCATGATTTTGGAATGAGATGTTCGACGAGCAGGTGTCCACATACTTCTGGCCATGTAGTGCATTTAAAACATGTATATGTATGTTTATGAATGTAAATACAACATATGTACAAATTATGCACATGCTTTAAATTACTATTGCACATTATGTAATAAAGTTGACTGTTGCTGATATCTAGATTGAAGTAGAGCAGCTTCAAGGTACAACAGCAGTAATCTCAGTGAACCATTGGCGCTAAACAGGAGAACCTCACACTTCCACTGAGGTCCCTCTCCCTACCCCCTGGACCACTTACCACCCAGTGGGTGGACAACCCAAGTCAAGGCCTAGTTCCTCTGTCTGCTTTACAGATCCATACTGTTCAACTGACAGAATGATCAAACATTAGGCTTCATGGTCAAAAATAAGGATTTCTTTGTGAAATAAATACAATTTGTAGCATTGTTAAAAAGGTAAAGAAATAAGAATCAAATGAAATAAAAACGAGTGAGATTAAAACAGATCACGTGGACATCCTGGACAAGCAGCTTATAAAAATTCCATCCAGCCAGTGGGTTACAGAATTATTTATATTTTTGTGATTTTCTCTTATTTTTTACAAAAATATATAAGGACTGTTTTTCCTTCGCAGTCATTCATGAAAAAATATATATAGTGCCGACAAGGCCTCTTTTGAATATATCTACAGTTGTACAATAGTCTTGCAAGTGAGTTCATAAAAAAATCCTATAGTTTTAGCGTGTCAATTTACATAAAAATGCTTCTTTACAGTCATTGGCTTAAAAACGGTTAGAATAAACGATACAAACGGAGATAGAAATAAATCACTTGCTACTGAGAGTCTTGTAAATGTGTCTTTTCCTCTATGGCCTGTTTCACTATTTCAGCCAACTTCAAGCGATCCACTTTGTCAGAGAAGGCCAGTCCTACAATGGAGACCAAAGAAAGAAATGTTGACTAGAACCAGATTAAAGGGAAATTCCACGCTTTTTCAACATCAACTTCATCTCCAGCACCATCCAACATCAACACATTTCAAAACGTTGGTTTTCTATGTTTTGTAGTCAAAAAGATTTAAAATAAGTGTTTTCCCATGACATCATCCAGAGACACTGATGACATCATCTGGTGTGCATCATGTGATTTTAACCAAGAGCAGGCAAAGGGTACTAAACTGAGGAATTAGAATTTAGTGTTGACAAAGGGTGGGATTTCCACTACAGAAATTAGTGTTGATGTACAGTGCCTTCGGAAAGTATTCAAACCCCTTGACTTTTTCCACATTTTGTTATGTTACAGCCTTATTCTACAATTGATATTACTTTTTTGATCCTCAGCAATCCACACACAATAACCCATAATGACGAAGCGAAAACAGGTTTTTAGAAAGGTTTGCAAATGTATAAATAAAACCCCCAGAAATACCTTATTTACGTAAGTATTCACACCCTTTGCTCCGAGACTTGGAATTGAGCTCAGGTGCATCCTGTTTTCATTGATTATCCTTGAGATGTTTCACCTGTGGTAAATTCAATTGCTTAGACATGATTTGGAAAGGCACACACCTGTCTATATAAGGTCCCACAGTTGACAGTGCATGTCAGAGCAAAAACCAAGCCATGAGGTCGAAGGAATTGTCCGTAGAGCTCCGAGACAGGATTGTGTCGAGGCACAGATCTGGGGAAGGGTACAAAAACATTTCTGCAGCACTGAAGGTCCCCAAGAACACAGTGGCCTCCATCATTCTTAAATGGCAGAAGTTTGGAAGCACCAAGACTCTTTCTAGAGACTCATCCAAACTGAGCAATCGGGGGAAAAGGGCCTTGGTCAGGGAGGTGACCAAGAACCAGATGGTCACTCTGACAGAGCTCTAGAGTTCCGCTGTGGAAATGGGAGAACCTTCCAGAAGGACAACCATCTCTGCAGCACTCCACCAATCAGTCCTTTATGATAGTGGCCAGACGGAAGCCACTCCTCAGTAAAAAGGCACATGACAGCCTGCTTGGAGTTTGCAAAAAGGCACCAAAAGGACTCTGACCATGAGAAACAAGATTCTCTGGTCTAATGAAACCAAGATTGAACTTTTTGGCCTGAATGCCAAGTGTCTCGTCTGGAGGAAACCTGGCACCATCCCTACGGTGGAGCATGGTGGTGGCAGAATCATGCTATGGGGATGTTATTCAAAGGCAGGGACTGGGAGACTAATCAGGATCGAGGCAAATATCAGCTAAGTACAGAGAGATCCTTAATGGAAACCTGCTCCAGAGTGCCCAGGACCTCAGATTGGGCCGAAGGTTCACCTTCCAACAGGACAACGACCCTAAGCACACAGCCAAGACAACACAGAAGTGGCTTTGGGACAAGTCTCTTAATGTCCTTGAGTGGCCCAGCCAGAGCCCGGACTTGAACCCGAACTAACATCTCTGGAGAGACCTGAAAATAGCTGTGCAGCAACGCTCCCCATCCAACCTGACAGAGATTGAGAGGATCTGCAGAGAAGAATGGGGGAAACTCCCCAAAAACAGGTGTGCCAAGCTTGTAGCGTCATATCCAAGAAGACTCGATGCTGTAATCGCTGCCAAAGGTGCTTCAACAAAGTACTGAGTAAAGGGTCTGAATACTTATATCAGTTTTTTTTATTTTTAACACATTTGCAAAATTGTTTTTGCTTTGTCATTATGGGGTATTGTGTGTAGATTGATGAGGGAAAAAACCAATTTAATCAATTTTAGAATAAGGCTGTAACGTAACAAAATGTGGAAAAAGTCAAGGGGTCTGAATACTTTCCGAATGCACTGTATATGAGCTGCCATTGCACACTGTATGCCGTATATAGTGCTGTGTTGTGCCTACCATCCCAGCTGAGGCCCTTCAACCCGTCTCGCAGTAGTTTGCAGTCTCGGTTGAAATGCCACGCCTCATGCATCACCTCATTCAGTTTCTCTTCCTCATTCTCTCCTGCCACACACACACACAGTTAAGTGTCAAGTGTCTGTGCTGTATACCAAGTAAATGCGTAAGTGCATGTATGTCTGTGTGCTTGTCAATGTACATCTGTATTGGTTGACGTGAAGTGTGTGTGTGGTGTGTGTGTGAGACTGACCAGCCTGTGGGAGGATACACTGAGCGATGACGTCTCGGAGTTTCTCCAGGGCCACGTTGGAGTCCTCGCCGCCGTTCTCTGGGTCGTGGATGAAGAAGCCATCGCTCTGCTTGCTGCTGTAGCACAACACACACATACCAGACACCAACCGCACACACACATATTTGGTTTAGCAGTGCTGTTGAATGTCACTCCCCACTATGGGCTCTACAGTCAGACAATGTGAAGCAGATCCTAACCAACTACAAAGAGGCAGAGAGGCATGTAACAAGAGAGATAGGCAGGCAGACAGACAGGCAGACCAACGGACCCTAGGAGTTTCCTCTTCCTCAGGATGGGGTTATTGACTGAGTTGAGTGGCTTGAGGCTGACGTTGAGGTCCTGTATTCTCATGTTAGCCAGCTGTTCAGCATGGGCCTGCTGGATCCCTGCTACCATCGCCTGGCAGAGGGACAGAGGGCGGGAGAGAGTTGGAGGGAGGGAGACAGGAAAGGAGGGAGGGTCACAAGGAAAGTTTTACACCCTGAACATTGAAGTTATTAAGGCAGGCAGCAAAAGTTTGGTCCCCGGAATCCCGCAGCCCTGTAGTAAGTATGACTGGATCTATGTAATGCTTTGAGACAGAGAGCTATATAAATGCTCTCCATCCCCGTCCATCCATCCAGGCCCACCTTGTCCATCATCATCTGGGCGGAGGGCAGCACGTTGTCCAGGGCCTCTGTGCAGTTGAGCCAGGGGTGTTCTAGTACACCCTCAATGGTCAGCCTCTCCTCAGGCTTCACCTTCAGCAGCCTACAGAGGGAGGGAGTAATATTAGTGAACTGGATTCCTCCTACTCAATCCAAACAATACAGCACTAGAGCACCGTTTGCGGTCCAAATTGGTTTTGCCTAACAAACACGTCACTCGTGAACCATTTCATCTGTTTAGAATTTGGAGATACCCACAAGCCCTGTTGGGGATGTATTTGAGGACAATATCCTTGACGCAGACACACACACACAGTAAGACCTGCTGTAGGGACGTACTTGCGGACAATGTCCTTGGCCATTTCAGAGATCTGGCTCCACTCGTCCTCGGGGAAGTCAAAGCTGGCCGTCATGATCTTCTTGCGCATGTCCTTGGGGATGGTGCGGCTGTGGTGCTTGGAGTAGAAGGGAGGGTAGCCACACAGCATCACGTAGATGATCACCCCAATGGACCACAGGTCACAGCTCTGCACGCACAGCAAGGGAAAGGGAATGAGCCAGGCCATTGGGATAGAGAGGAGAGAGGAAGGAGAAGAGTTAGCTCAACACAACCCTGCAAACACTGATGTCATTCAGTGGAAATATGTTGCAGCATGTGAAGATGCTTGTGAGATGTTTCTGTAAATCTGGGATGCTGCCATTTGTGGGATAATGGTTTGTCGTGGCTGAGGTAGGGCAGTTGCTCACCTTGTTATAGGTGTAAGGGGTGGGTGAGGTAGGGTAGTTGCTCACCTTGTTATAGGTGTAAGGGGTGGGTGAGGTAGGGTAGTTGCTCACCTTGTTATAGGTGTAAGGGGTGGGTGAGGTAGGGTAGTTGCTCACCTTGTTATAGGTGTAAGGGGTGGGTGAGGTAGGGTAGTTGCTCACCTTGTTATAGGTGTAAGGGGTGGGTGAGGTAGGGTAGTTGCTCACCTTGTTATAGGTGTAAGGGGTGGGTGAGGTAGGTATTATTCCAGACTTTTCCTTTTGGTGTCGCCTTTGAGCCTCAAGTACCTAGGGTGAGAGGAGAAGATGATGTTGATTGAAGCAGGACTTTTTTTTAAACGCTCCCCAACCTGGTGTCATATCTGAGCAGAGCACCCATCCTTACCTGAGGTGCAACGTAATAAGGAGTGAACTGTGGGGTCATCAAATCCCCCTGGTCAATTTTCGCAACCTAACCTGCTGTCAGATCTGAGCAGAGCACCCATCCTTACCTGAGGTGCAACGTAGTAAGGAGTGAACTGTGGGGTCATCAAGTCCCCCTGGTCAATTTTTGCAAATCCAAAATCGCACAACTTCACCGGTGCATCCTTGAACATGAAAAGGGAGAACGTCAGAACATATTTCTCAAATAGGAATTTCCTAAAAAGGTGAAAGGCTTCGCCTCTTGCAACTTGCTTGTTGTAGCCTACTACTAGACAGCTGTATTAAGAGCAGTGTGTGCGTGCACGCTTCCCGTAAGCCCTTCTGTCTCCTCACCAGGGAGTTATCCTTGAAGAGCAGGTTCTCTGGTTTCAGGTCTCGATGTGCAATATTCAGTGAGTGACAGTGTTCCAGGGCCTGGCCGATCTGACGGGGGGGACAGAGGAAACTCAGACACAGGCTCAACTACACTACGTTCACAGGAAGTCATGTTATTAAAGCACGGGTGCATTAGAAGCCTGGGTGGAGGAGGAGGAATACAGAGGAATTTGTCACGTTTGAATGTGCATAAATGTAAAATATAATTACGCCATTTAGCAGACGCTTTTATCCAAAGTGACTTAGTCATGCGTGCATTCATTTTCCATATGGGTGGCCCCAATGGGAATCGAACCACCGACCATTGGTGTTGCAAGCACCATGCACTACCAACTGAGCCACAAAGGAATTTTAACAGGCAGGCAGGGTTACCTGTTTGGTGACCTGGCTGGCCATCTTCTCTGTGAAGTGTCTGTGCTGACTGATCCTGTGGAACAGCTCGCCTCCCTCCATCATCTCCATGACGATCAGTAACCTCGCTCTGCAGGTAAGTGGGAAATTTTCATCTACTCAAATCTGTGAATGTCATAGTTACCCCTTGTTACATTTAGACAGATACGCGTAAACTAGGTGCAGGAGCATAACACGGGTAAATACACCATGTAGCAATACAACAATAACGTTCACATATATGTTTCAATGAGCCCGTCGATGACGTATGTGCTGGTACATTGGACTTGCTCCTCCTCACCTTGGACTGGATTCGTGAGGAAACTGCACACTGTTGGCGTACACCTCCATAATCTGCACGATGTTGGGGTGTGTAGCGCACATCATGTGGAGCCGCACCTGAATCATCATGGACAGAACAGGGAGGTTAAAGGAAGACGCAGTAAGATGACAGACACACAAAGTAAAACAGTAGTAGTGGGTCAATTTGCACAACAACTAAAAGCTACTTTGGTCCCGCAGCTACCACGTTGTAGCAGCGTGAACAGAACCCGTGCACGTGCGCAAATACACTGCTCAAAAAAATTAAGGGAACACTAAAATAACACATCCTAGATCTGAATGAAATAATCTTATTAAATACTTTTTTCTTTACATAGTTGAATGTGCTGACAACAAAATCACACAAAAATTATCAATGGAAATCAAATGCATCAACCCATGGAGGTCTGGATTTGGAGTCACTCTCAAAATTAAAGTGGAAAACCACACTGCAGGCTGATCCAACTTTGATGTAATGTCCTTAAAATAAGGCAAAATTAGGCTCAGTAGTGTGTGTGGCCTCCACGTGCCTGTATGACCTCCCTACAACAATGCCTGGGCATGCTCCTGATGAGGTGGCGGATGGTCTCCTGAGGGATCTCCTCCCAGACCTGGACTAAAGCATCCGCCAACTCCTGGACAGTCTGTGGTGCAACGTGGCGTTGGTGGATGGAGCGAGACATGATGTCCCAGATGTGCTCAATTGGATTCAGGTCTGGGGAATGGGCGGGCCAGTCCATAGCATCAATGCCTTCCTCTTGCAGGAACTGCTGACACACTCCAGCCACATGAGGTCTAGCATTGTCTTGCATTAGGAGGAACCCAGGGCCAACCGCACCAGCATATGGTCTCACAAGGGGTCTGATGATCTCATCTCGGTACCTAATGGCAGTCAGGCTACCGCTGTGCAGCCCCCCAAATAAATGCCACCCAACACCATGACTGACCCACCGCCAAACCGGTCATGCTGGAGGATGTTGCAGGCAGCAGAATGTTCTCTACAGCGTCTCCAGACTCTGTCACGTCTGTCACATGTGCTCAGTGTGAACCTGCTTTCATCTGTGAAGAGCACAGTGCGCCAGTGGCGAATTTGCCAATCTTGGTGTTCTCTGGCAAATGCCAAACGTCCTGCACGGTGTTGGGCTGTAAGCACAACCCCCACCTGTGGACGTCGGGCCCTCATACCACCCTCATGGGGTCAGTTTCTGACCGTTTGAGCAGACACATGCACATTTGTGGCCTGCTGGAGGTCATTTTGCAGGGCTCTGGCAGTGCTCCTCTTGCTCCTCCTTGCACAAAGGCGGAGGTAGCAGTCCTGCTGCTGGGTTGTTGCCCTCCTACGGCCTCCTCCACGTCTCCTGATGTACTGGCCTGTCTCCTGGTAGCGCCTCCATGCTCTGGACACTACGCTGACAGACACAGTAAACCTTCTTGCCACAGCTCGCATTGATGTGCCATCCTGGATGAGCTGCACTACCTGAGCCACTTGTGTGGGTTGTAGACTCCGTCTCATGCTACCACTAGAGTGAAAGCACCGCCAGCATTCAAAAGTGACCAAAACATCAGCCAGGAAGCATAGGAACTGAGAAGTGGTCTGTGGTCACCACCTGCAAAACCAGTCCTTTATTGGGGGTGTCTTGCTAATTGCCTATAATTTCCACCTGTTGTCTATTCCATTTGCACAACAGCATGTGAAATGTATTGTCAATCAGTGTTGCTTCCTACGTGGACAGTTTGATTTCACAGAAGTGTGATTGACTTGGCGTTACATTGTGTTGTTTAAGTGTTCCCTTAATGTTTTTGAGCAGTGTACAATTTGTGACTGTGTGAGAGCAATATCTTGCATAGCACTCATCGTAATATCTGCCGTGCTGCTCGTGGCAACGTAATAACGCTAAGTCTACCTCTAAACAAGTTGGGTGAGACGGACCACGTCTGGCTGGGTAGAGGCACACGGTCTTGTCTTTGAAAAGGTTGACAAACAGAGCAGATAAACATCGGCCAAACTACGGAAACAAACTTTAGAGTCGACAACAACGAGGACATGTTGCGCTGATGGGAAGCTGTGCTGCTTGGGGGGGCAGCATGTGGCTGCATTGCTCGTTTCGACTTCACCTCACACAGCTGATCAACTGCAGTTAGTGGAGGTGCTTTATATGGGAAGTAAGTATTGGGCTGGTGATGACATTGAGTGGGTGAGTGACAGACAGACACAGCCGACCCTGAGTATTAGTTGAGAGGCGATAAGACAAGAAGACACACAATGACGCAAATGGAACACTATTGCCTATGTAGTGCACTATTTTTGAGCAGAGCCCTAACGGCCCTGGTTAAAAGTAGTGCACTACATAGGGAATAGGATGCCCTTTGGAACGTAGACAAAGACAACACAGGAGACTCAACGCTGACCAAACACAGACACCTACAGTGCAGACAACAGACAAGGGCGTGCAAAAGACAATCAGAAAAGCAAAACAATGGTTCAAACCTCATTTCGGGCCTTGGGACGATCAATTAGGATTTTCAGGGCCAATCGTTCCTGAGTTGACTTCTTCACACAAACTCTGTGGAGAGTAAAATAAATACTTCAAGAAAAAAATAGGACAATATAAAAATAATAGAGGCAGCTTTTCATGGTGGTCCACTCCATTATTAAGTTAAATGTGTAATATGCAAAAATCGCTCTGCCATTTCCTGGTTGCAAAAATTTGAATAGTTTGCCTAATTTCAGGTTTGTGACAAAACAAGCAGTCGTGTAGAGAATCATTGTACCATCTAAACCGCTGTGAAATATATTTTCCATAATAACAAATACTGTATTTTCAGCTGATGTACAAAACTGAAAGTAAAAAAGACGCTAAAACTTAACGGGAAGCATAGATATGGCGCACCTTGAACAGATCTACCGCTTCTTAGACTGGCTTTCAATGAGAATGACAGATCTAGAACTCACATTTCTATGTGAATTTGGTCAGGTCGCCCAAAAAGTGACATATTACAGCTTTAAATAAAGGTAGGCCTAATACCAGTACTAGGCTACAACTTGTTGCTAGAATCAAACAAAGACAAATGGCTCCTTAAAATAGCATTCCATTCTCAACACCATAGCAGAGTGCTGCATCATGTCCATTTCTATTTACAACAAGACCTATAAACACGTGCAGCAATGGATATTAAAGCCAGCAGAACCTCAAACCGCCCACCCTCAACAAGGACCCAAACATTCAATCAAAACCTTATCCTATGCTCCTAAACTCAGATTACACTAAGAATAAATCCTGGAGGAACATTCTGCTTCAACCAAAGATCAGTAGGAGTGAAATACCAAATGCATCAGAGACTGAGAGAGACGGACAGACAGCGAGACAGACACCAATGTTACAGGAAGTAGTCCACCTGTTAGAGGGACTAGGTCCCCACCTATTGGCCTTCAGGTGTACTGCACCTTATTTATGTACTATGGTTGCATTCTTGGCCATCCCGGCATTCCATGTTAACATGATGGAAGTATTTTCTCAAAGCTCTGACTCCGAACCATTATTATCACACAAACATGGTGTCAGAAGTAACTGAACCCAAACGTTGCTGGTGTCTGTAGTGCATTGTTGTGAGTACTTTAGGATCTTGATAGACAGCGCATATTCAAGGTTTTGGCATCAGCATTAGCAGCAAGCTAGTTTATTAGCTAGCATACAGTGTCAGCATGGCTACCAACATCCCTCCGCCAGATGAAATGAAAATGACCGGCGATTTAGGCAATAACTGGGTTCATTTTAAGGCAGAGTTTGAAGACTATCTGCTAGCCTCTGGATTATACGAAAAATCAGCTGAAGTGCAGGCAGCATCACTGAGAAGAGTGATGGGCAGTGAGTCTCTTCCCATCTACAAACATCACTTGGATATAAAAGCAGATTGGGAAAAGGACATGGCAGCTATTCTCATTGCCCTCGAGAGATACTTTAAACCAGCATTTATTTTTCTTTGAACGCTTCATTTTCAGCACCTGCAGACAACAGGAGGGTGAGTCAATTGATGCGTTTGTGACTCGATTAAGAAAGAAAGCAGCTTCTTGTGACTATGGACAATTAAAAAGATGAGCTGATAAGGGACAGAGTGGTGCTTGGGATTGCTGTTGAGGGTGCGCGCCGCCACCTCCTCTGAGAACGTGATCTCACTCTCGCCTCTGCCATTGAGATCTGCCGGGCTGCAGAGTTGACAGATAGGAGAATGAGACCAATGACGCAGGACTGATCAGGGGACAACAGCATCAACGCCACAGACCCCAACGGCGGAATCCAACCAAAGCAAGAAAAACCCTAACATCAATCCAGCACAGCAGGGGAAAGCCCTAGGACATGCAGATTCATTGGTAACAACCACAGGTGTGGACGGGAGCTATGGTAAGGCTTGCAGTCTGTGTGAAACTGCAAATCAATTTGCTTAAGTGTACATGAAGAAACAAGCCTCCCGCCAACTAAAACACAGTGGATACCCCAGCCCTGGAAGAGGACCTGGAGAATGGAAATAATGGACATATCTATTCAACCAGGAGCATAGGAGCAATGCATGCACAGGGGGATTTTTTTATTTTATTGTCAACCTACAACTGCACAATGGAGAACAGCGGTGTCAATTAAACTCAGGAGCAACCAGTGACGTGATGAGCATAAAAGACAAGATTAAACTGGCACCTGAGATTAACCTCATCTCCAGCAAAACCAAACTGAAGCTATATTCAGGTGATATAATGAACTCAGTAGGGCTGTGGAGAACAGAGTGTGGTCAGGGGGAGCACATATAGAATTGACTTTGAGATTGTAGAGGCCAATCAGAAACCCTTATTGTCAGGCTCAATATGTAAGCAAATGGGGTTAATGCACTTCACTATCCCTGCAGCGCTGCACAAAGGTATACCAGGGAGGTTAAGGGACTTTAACTAAGCAGCACCTTGTTACTGCATACCAGGATGTTTTCAATGACCCCCGTAGAGTCACTACCAGGTGACATCCACTTCGAGCTCGACAACAGCATCACACTGGTGCAGTGTGCCCCAAGAAATGTCCCAGTGGCTCTGAAGGCAGCGGTTAAGGCACAGATGGACAAACACGAGAGGGACGGCCACCTAGCCACTGTCACAGAGCCCACCGACTGGACTAGCAACATGGTGATTGTCAAATAGCCAGACAAGCGCAGAGTATGCCTTGACCCTAAGTCCCTCAATCAGGCTTTGAAGAGGTCCCACTACAGTGCATTTGGAAAGTATTCAGACCCATTGGCTTTTTCCACATTTTGTTACGTTACAGCCTTATTCTAAAATTGATTAAATAAAATAAAATCCTCAGTCTACACACAATACCACATAATGACAAAGCAAAAACAGGTTTAGACTTTTTTGCAAATGTATTACAAATAAAAACAGAAATACCTTATTTACATAAGTATTCAGACCCTTTGTTAAGAGACTCGAAATTGAGCTCAGGTGCATCCTGTTTCTAAGACACACGAAATTGAGCTCAGGTGCATCCTGTTTCTAAGAGACACGAAATTGAGCTCAGGTGCATCCTGTTTCTAAGAGACACGAAATTGAGCTCAGGTGCATCCTGTTTCTAAGAGACACGAAATTGAGCTCAGGTGCATCCTGTTTCTAAGAGACACGAAATTGAGCTCAGGTGCATCCTGTTTCCACTGATAATTCTTGAGATGTTTATACAACTTGATTGGAGTCCACCTGTAGTAAAGTCAATTGATTGGACATGATTTGGAAAGGCACACACGTACGTCTATATAAGGTCCCACAGTTGACATTGCATGTCAGAGCAAAAACTAAGCCATGAGGTCGAAGGAATTGTCCGTAGAGCTCCGACCAAAATTAGCAATCGGGGGAGAAGGGCCTTGGTCAGGGAGGTGGCCAAGAACCTGATGGTCACTCTGACAGAGCTCTAGAGTTCCTCTGTGGAGATGGGAGAACCTTCCAGAAAGACACCATCTCTGCAGCACTCCACCTATCTAGCCTTTATTGTAGAGTGGCCAGACGGAAGCCACTCCTCAGTAAAAGGCACATGACAGCCCAATTGGAGTTTGTGAAAAGGCACCTAAAGGACTCTCAGACCATGAGAAACACGATACTCTGGTCTGATAAAACCAAGATTGAACTATTTGGCCTGAATGCCAAGCGTCACGTCTGAAGGAAACCTGGCACCATCCCTATGGTGAAGCATGGTGGTGGCAGAATCATGCTGTGGGGATGTTTTTCAGCCGCAGGGACAGGGAGACTAGGCAGGATCGAGGGAAAGATGAACGGCGCAAAGTACAGAGAGATCCTTGATGAAAACCTGCTCCAGAGCACTCACGACCTCAGACTGGGGCGAAGGTTCACCTTCCAACAGGACAACGACCCTAAGCACACTGTCAAGACAATGCAGGAGTGGCTTCGGGACAAGTCTATGAATGTCCTTGAGTGGCCCAGCCAGATCCTGGACTTGAACCCGATCGAACATCTCTGGAGAGACCTGAAAATAGCTGTGCAGCGACGCTCCCCATCCAACCTGACAGAGCTTGAGAAGATCTACAGAGAAGAATGGGACAAACTCCTCAAATACAGGTGTGCCAAGCTTGTAGCGTCATACCCAAGAAGACTCGATGCTGTAATCGCTGCCAAAGGTGCTTCAACAAAGTACTGAGTAAAGGGTCTGAATACTTATGTAAATGTGATATCAGGTTTGTTTTATTTAATAAATTAGAAATTCTAAAAACCTGTTTTCTCTTTGTCATTATGGGGTATTGTGTGTAGATTGATGACTGAAAAAAACAATTTCATCAATTTTAGAATAAGGCTGTAATGTAACAAAATGTTGAAAAGTGAAGGGGTCTGAATACTTTCCAAATGCACAAAAATAAAACGCAACAATTTCAAAGATTTGACTGAGTTACAGTTCATAGAAGGAAATCAGTCAATTTAAATAAATTCATTAAGCCCTAATCTATGGATTTCACATTACTGGGCAGGAGTGCAGCCATTGGTGAATGGGGATCCAGGCCCAGCCATTACAGAGATAAATACTCCTCAGCACCCCCCCCTCCCCCCCGTTGCCAATTCTCTGGCAATAGCTCTGAACAGGCCGTGGCTCAGGGGGCTGAGGTCCTTGATGATCTTCTTGGCCTTCCTCTGACACCAGGTGATGTAGATGTCCTGGAGGGCAGGCAATTTGCCCAAGGTGATCGGTTGGGCTGACCGCACCACCCTCTGGAGAGCCATGGGGTTGTGGCCGGTGTAGTTGGCGTACCAGGCGGCGATGCAGCCCTACAGAATCCTATCGATGGTGCATCTGTAGATGTTTGCAGTATCGAATCGCCATATATAGAATAGTGAGAATCGCAATACATATCATATTGGCACCTAAGTATCGTGATAATATCGTATCGTGAGGTCCCTGGCAATTCCCAGCCCTAGCACTGTAAACACACTGAGTGACACCACCTTTAACACTAGTCCCATCCAGTCTAAGGGCACTGGACTCCTCTGCAGGACCACTCTTCAACCTCATCTGCATTTAGGCCTAATATGCAATAATTTATGCATCTCCTACATTGCACAAATGAGTTGGTATCCTAGGGCAAACTAGGCAAAACTCTATGATAGAATAATGCTCACCTAACAGGTCCACTGATCCCTGCCCCGAGCTTCTGTGTCCAGTTAATGTTGTACTCTTCCAAGATGGAGGTCTCCTAAGAGAGGGAGAGGAGGACAAACAAGAGATGGATATGGGGAAAATGTCACACACTAAACAAGTGTAGGCAGCTGCATCCCTGTTCACAGTTAATATTGGCTATTCCCTCGCTTTTGCTAGGTCAAGCTCGTGTTGTGTTGACACTTGCTGGATGGAATCGTAATGCATACAAATTACTCAAGAGGCTTTTCTTGTACCAGAGAGGACCTATCCCTTACCTCTGGGCTCTGCTTCCACCATTTCTATCCTATGACTAGTGAGGGCATATTTGACAAGCAGCCAGGGAAGAGTTGTTTTTAAAATGCCTAAATGCTTATGGTAAACTCAATAATTGTCACTTGAAGCATTCCCTTTTCAGTCTAGTGGACTGTTCTGGGGCTTTTGGTGCGCAGTCAGGCTCAAGCTGTGTTCCAATTCTCAGTGCTAGGCTATTCCAAACACCCACCCTCTCTCCCTCCTCCCATCCTTAGCACATTCTGACCCAGCCGTGTGAGCAAGGGGTCACTTGGATCCAGCTAAAAGCATCTGGTAGGCTAATTAGTCTATAATACCCTAGCCGAAATTTAGGCACCTACATTAATTATACCGAACATGGATTCCAAGTAGAGGAAACATGTCCACGCAAAGCCAGAACAAAACATTGCCATCCATATTAGATTGCATAGGAGTTGCATAGTTTCTTGTTCATCAGCAATGCAACCATTGCCTCTCCAATCAGAACCTCCTAACGATTATGGATTGTGGTTTTGGACATTGTACCTGCTAGCAGCATGTCCTGTCATTAGACCATAACTTATCTCACAAGCTGTCGCAATGGAGTGCCCTTAGACCCCGTCTTATGAATAAATGAAATCATTCATAAAGCTGTCTAAATTTGGCCTACCGTTACCCGTACTGCCTTGAGCTTGAGGGTGCTTGATACAGTAGTTAGCTACTCCTTATTCTGACCATGACATCACATTCCAGAGGTTGAATGTCACACTTAAACTGAATCTATTCCAGAAAAAGGACCATAGTGTAAAAAGCACAAAACATTGTCCTGATATGTAGCAAATGAAAAACTGAACTAAACACATTTATAGATGGGTCATTGGTAGGGCTGGGCAGAACACCGTATTTTACTATATACCGGTATTGATGCACGGACCGGTTTGGGTTTTTAATTTACTTTCTATAACGGTATTTCAATGTTTGGTTTGTTAAATGTGATACGCAACTCAGGCACATACAAAGTCAGTTTTTATAGTTTACTCCCGTTTGCTTCTTGAGTCATCTCTCTCCCTCTCCTGCTGCTGCATGCCACCAACTACACCAAACCCTGCCCCCATCACTCAAGGAGAGCAGTTGCTCGACCACAGAGTCACTAGCACTTTCTTGCCGTTCACTCCGCATGGTCAGATGGATGCAGCAGTGTTGGTGACATGCTGCTTTCCACAAGCATTCTATAAATTACACTATTAGTTTGTGTATCTTACTGTGTGCAAACTACTGTTTGCTAGTTTGTCTTTTCTTAGCAAGGTGTTGTGAAAATGTGTTAGCTGCTAATGCTAATCGCTAGTTAGCTGGCTAGCTAGCTTGCTAAATATACTACGAGTCAGAGCAAACGTAGCTAGTTAGCTAATACTGCCTGGTACCAGTGCTGGTGTAGGCCTAGATAAGCATGTTTATGCAACAGTATCTTATCAGAGAGGAATAGGCATGAATGTTGGCTAGCTAGCTACATGAAGTATGAAAACATGTAATGTAACATCTAATTAGGGTCACCTGGAAACACTGACGAAAACTTTGGTTGCTATCATGTCAATAATTCCTCACTGGCTTATTAATTTGTTGTAATGTCAAACAACGTATTCAAGGTGCTGCCCATTATATTCCAACTATAGAATTAGAATAATCATTTTATTCCATGATTCCAACAGTTCAATTAACTACGGCTAGATTTTTTTGCCCATATCATGCTACAGTGTGGAAATTATAATAAAAGTGCAGGAAATGCAGAAATTGATGAAAATAATTTTTGTTTGGAGTTGGATTGAACAGTATAAAATGGAGAAAGCCACATTGAAATCACTTATAATTTATGTGTTGCCACCCTAGGGTCATGAACTACTCAGAAAGCATATTTAGAACTTTAATTATTAAAAAATATAAAATACCATCAAAAATATGTCTATATCGCCCAGCCCTAGTCATGGTCATACAGTGTCTTCAAAAAGTATTCACACCTTTACTTTTTCCACATTTTGTTGTTACAAAGTGGGATTAAAATGGTTTTAATTGTAATTTGTCAGCGATCTACACAAAATACTCTGTAATCTCAAAATGGAAGATTCTTTTTTTACAAATGTTAGAATTCATGTAAAATAAAACACTAATATATCTTAATTAGATAAGTATTCAACCCCCTGAGTCCATACATGTTAGAATAACCTTCACCAGCGACTACAGCTGTGAGTCTTTTTGGGTAAGTCTCTAAAAGTAACATGCTGACTAGACCGGGCACCCGCGTGCGCCATTGCACGCATGTTGATTTTGTCCAGCCACACCAGACATGATCAGGATGCACAGGTTGAAAATTCTAAACGATCTCTGAACCACCTATATTATATTTGGGGACAGGTCGAAACGCAAGAAACATTCATAGCCATTTAGCTAGCTAGCTTGCTGTTGCTAGCTAATTTGTCCTAGGATATAAACATTGTGTTGTTATTTTACCTGAAATGCACAAGGTCCTCTACACCGACAATTAATCCACAGATAAAAGGGTAAACCTAGTTTGTTTCTAGTAATCTCTCCTCCTTCAGTCTTCTTCTTCGGACTTTATATGGCAGTTGGCAACCAACTTTATGGTGCATTACCACCACCAACTGGATTGGCGTGTGGACCTCAGTTCAGCTTTCAATCACCCACGTGGGTATATGCTCCTAAAAACCAATGAGGGAATGGGAGAGGCGGGACTTGCAGTGCGTCACATGTAAAAAATAGAACCAAGTTCTATTTTAGCGCCTGGCTACGCAGACGCTCCTTGACGCGCACGAGCAGTTTGGATTAAATGATTGAACAACATGTATACATTTATTTTAAAATTGTTCAAGCTATGTCAAGTTGGTTGTTGATCATTGCTAGACAGCCATTTTCAAGTCTTGCCATAGATTTTCAAGCCTATTTAAGTTAAAACTATTACTAGGCCACTCTTGGTAAGCAACTCCAGTGTATATTTGGCCTTTTGTTTTAGGTTATTGTCCTGCTGAAAGGTGAATTTGTCTCCCAGTGTCTGTTGGAAAGCTGACTGAACCAGGCTTTGTATTCAAGACATGAAGTATATTTCTTTGCCACATTTTTTTGCAGTTTTACTTTAGTGCCTTATTGCTAACTGGATTCATGTTTTGGAATATGTTCTATTCTGTATAGGCTTCCTTTTCACTCTGTCAATTAGGTTAGTATTTTTGTTTTCATACATTTTTACGATATAGCCAATTTTGACTTTGTGATTGTGGAATCTAGTGGAAGTCATTTGCTATCCGCACACGGGCTTGAAAATCACTGCACCAGTTTAAGCGCTGCCTTCGCCCCATTTTCTGATTTGTCCAAAAAGAAATCTATGACGAAGCCCAAAACAAGGAACTACTGCTGCTCGTAATCACAGAATTCTACATGAGCCTTGACAGATTGTCACCATTTCATCTGTCTACAAGAGATTAATTGTGGAGTAACTACAATATTGTTGAGCCATACTCAGTTCTCCTGTCACAGCCATTAAACTCTGTTTTAAAATCCCTGAGCGGTTTCCTTCCTCTCCAGCAACTGAGTTAGTGTCTATTGTAAAGCAGACTGAACACCTGTATCTTTGTAGTGACTGAGTGTATTGATGCACCATCCAAAGTGTAATTAATATATTTTACCATGCTCCAAGGGATATTCAATGTCAGCTTTTTCAATCAATAGGTGCCCTTCTTTAAGAGGCATTGGAAAACCTTCCTGATATTTGTGGTTGAATCTGTGTTTGAAATTCACTGCTCGACTGAGGGACCTTACAGATAATTGTATGTGTGGGGTACATAGACGAGGTAGTCATTCAAAAATCATGTTAAAAACTATTATTGCACACAGAGTGAGTCCAGGCAACTTATTATTATGTGACATGTTAAGCAAATGTGTACTACTGAACTTATTTATGCATGCCATGACAAAAGAGGTTGAATACTTATTGTGTGCAGGCCAGTAAAAAAAATGATATTTAATACATTTTAAATTCAGGCTGTAACAACAAAATGTGGAAAAGTAAAGGGGTGTGAATACTTTCTGAAAGAACTGTAGATGGGCCATGCTATTGAATATCCATGGTGGTGAGAGCTAGAGGGTTATTTTACTAATCACAAACCTTTTATAACGTTCAGCAGAGTTCAGGCAACTTAGGGCAGAAAAAAAAATTCCACCCAAAAACGATCTTTTGGTATTTGTTTCATTAGTCCATTGTTGACATACTCCCAAAATGTTTTGCTTGTCAGCAATCAAGTTAAGAAACACTCTATCTACAAAAGTATGTGGACAACCCTTCAAATTAGTGAATTTGGCTATTTCAGCCACACCTGTTGCTGACAGGTGTATAAATTCGAGCACACAACCATGCAATCTCCATAGACAAACATTGGCAGTAGAATGGCCTTACTGAAGAGCTCAGTGACTTTCAACGTGGCACCATCAAAGGATGCCACCTTTCCAACAAGTCAGTTCGTCAAATTTCTGCCATGCTAGAGCTGCCCAGGTTTTGTGAAGTGGAAACGTCTAGGAGCAACAATGGCTCAGTAGCGAAGTGGTAGGCCACACAAGCTCAGAAAACGGGACCGCAGAGTGCTGAAGCGCGTAAAAATGGTCTGTCCTCGTTTGCAACTCTCACTAACGAGTGAGAGTAGTTCCTTCCAAACTGCCTCTGGAAGGAACGTCAGCACAATAACTGTTCGTCGGGAGCTTCATGAAATGGGTTTACATGGCCGAGCAGCCGTACAAAAGCCTAAGATCACCATGTGCAATGCCAAGCATCGGCTGGAGTGGTGTAAAATGCCAAGCATCGGCTGGAGTGGTGTAAAGCTCGCCACCATTGGACTCTGGAGAAGTGGAAATGCGTTCTCTGGAGTGATGAATCACGCTTCACCATCTGGCAGTCCGACGGACAAAACTGGGTTTGGTGGATGCTAGGAGAACGCTACCTGCCCGAATGCATAGTGCCAACTGTAAAGTTTGATAGAGGAAGAATAATGATCTGGGGCTGTTTTTCATGGTTTGGGCTAGGCCCCTTAGTTCCAGTGAAGGGAAATCTTAACGCTTCAGCATACAATGACATTCTAGACGATTCTGTGCTTCCAACTTTGTGGCAACAGTTTGGGGAAGGCCCTTTCCTGTTTCAGCATGACAATGCACCTGTGCACAAAGCGAGGTCCATACAGAAAGGGTTGTTTTCGAGATCGGTGCAGAAGAACTTGACTGGCCTGTACAAAGCCCTGACCTCAACTCCATCGAACACCTTTGGGATGAATTGGAACGCCGACTGCGAGCCAGGCCTAATCGCCCAACATCAGTGCCCGACCTCACTAATGCTCGTGGCTGAATGGAAGCAAATCCCTGCAGCAATGTTCCAATATCTAGGGGAAAGCCTTCCCAGAAGAGTGGAGGCTGTTATAGCAGCAAAGGAGGGACTAACTCCATATTAATGCCCTGCCTAAATGACTACCGCCCCGTAGCACTCACGTCAGTAGCCATGAAGTGCTTTGAAAGGCAGGTCATGACTCACATCAACACCATCATCCCGGAAACCCTAGACCCACTCCAATTTGCATACCACCTCAACAGATCCACAGATGACGCAATCTCAATCACACTCCACACTGCCCTTTCCCACCTGGACAAAAGGAACACCTATGTGAGAATGCTGTTCATTGACTACAGCTCAGCGTTCAACACCATAGTGCCCACAAAGCTCATCACTAAGCTAAGGACCCTGGGACTAAACACCTCCCTCTGCAACTGGATCCTGGACTTTTGTCATGTAGTGTTTGTAACTTTAAAAATACACAAATCATCCCCTATGATGCTGCAAAATGCATCATACGGGAATGATTTCAGTATTTTACAAGTAAAATGCATCATACGGGGATGATCTCTGTATTTTTAAAGTTACATATCTTGAAAACTTGATTGCTGACAAACAAAATATTTTGGGACTATGTCAACAATGGACTGATGAAATAAATACCAAAATATAGTTTTGGGTGGAGTTTTCCTTTAAGTGGAAAACCAAACCAGGCAAGTATCATGTGAGATGAAAGAAAAAGTTCACTTTACAAGACATGACATCAGATGTGTCATTTGAAATTAGTATGAGAGCATGTCATGCATTAAACATTTCTTCTAAAATAAAACAATGTCATACCAAGAGGAACTAAATGTGTCAGCAATAGAACTAAACAACTGACATTTGTCTTTGAAGTACAATCTGACACTTATCAGTCAAGTGACACTTATTTCAATGTATTATGTAGTGATGGGAGGAATCGATACAGTTACATATCGGGATATTATTTCTGACGATAAATCGTATCGTATCATTTTGACAAAATCATATTATTTTTGCGCTAGCTACATGCACCAAAACTCCAGTATTTTTCCTTAATAGCTGGTTCTACATTTTCTATTTAAATATGGAGCCAATTTGTTTTCAACACTTATTTCCATGACTGATAAACTCGTTTTCTCATGGCTCTCTCTTGTCCCTCTGCAGCAGACATATCGTGAGAAATATGTTTGGAACATCGAATCGCAGTACATATAGCTAGAATCGTAAGAATGGCAATACATTTCGTATCGGCACCTAAGTATCGTGATAATATCGTGAGGTCCCTGGCAATTCCCAGTCCTAGCATTATGATAACATTAGCAGCATATCCAACATGCAAACAATTGTTCTGTATTCAAATAAATCACCATTACCTTGATGAATTTGTCTGCGTTGTTATCCTCCGACATGATGTTCCACAGTGGTAGAATAACTTAAGGAGTTCTTTCACAGTTTACAAACAAAACAAAGGGGATGCCCTTTAACAGTATCGTTAATGTTAAATAGCTAATGTTTTTCCTGCCGGGAACGAGCTACTGGTGACAGGCCAACGCCATGGATGACACTTAATGTTCGGCCAAAAAGCCACAGTTGAATGCGTTTACTTTGGTAACCCGACTTGATACACCCAGCCGGAGAGAGATGCCTCATGCCAGCTCGTCTCACAAACTACAGTGCCTCCAACCTCTTCAGATCGTCCTGACTTGGCTGTGGCGACCATGTAGAGCGACAAAGTCCCAACTGGTTGTCTGAAAAGTCGTAAGGCGGACGGGCTCACCACTGTTGGTGGGGTGCTGAGTGGGGGACAAAGAGTGGTTTATTTTTAGCCAGCATTGAGTGCTATGCTTGAGCACTTAGCTACAGTAGCAAGATAGCCACAGGACACGCACCAAGCACCGGTCTAATGAGCTGCTAACGTTAGTTAGCGTGACCCTTCGTCTCGGGGTTCATTGCTGTTAAATGCAAGCAAACATGCTAAGTAAAATGTCCAAACAAGCTTTGTTGAGACCTCATGTGAACATGAAGCGACGGGGAGGAGAAAACGGTACGCCGAGTACCAAAACTCGTCGACGCTTAACTTGCTTAGCTAACTAAAAGAGCCTGGCTTGCTAGCAACCCGTCCCAACCATAATTTACCAGCGAGTGTAATAAAAGTGAATAGTCATCCACGTTAGATATCACTTACCTAAACGATAAAAGATTAATCATATTTTATCTGACCAGTTAGTGACTTCAACCCTAGCTAGCTAGCTACGGTTCTTGTCAAAGGAAAAATACAGTGGCTAACTAAACAAGAACGGTCTATAACGAAAGCCTGATGAAATGTATACATATTTGAAGACATTACAATTCCAAATATTTGAGGATTGTCACCACTACAACTTTCAATGTCATAGTAAAATATGTTAGTAGCATTGATCCCGGTTCACTTATCACATTTTCGAAGTATTTTTGAAAACAGGCAGGAAAAAGACCGCCATTTATTGGGCCTTGGGGTCCATCGTGTTCAATTCGAGAACAAAGAGGCCGTGCTCTGTTTCTGGCCGTGTTCGAAAGGATCAAACCCGTACTGTATCAAGGGTAAATTGTGACTGTGTCTGACCTACAAATAATAATGAGTAGTTATTTATGATGCAATGTTCTTTGTAGATCAGTCAGTTGGCAGTCGCCTGCAATGACGTCAAACAAGGCCAGATATTGGGTATTGGGCACATTCCTCTGCCCAGGCGCTTCTGGCGCATGCTAGATTTTACAACGTCTGAATAGGTATTTTACATATCAGCTAACCACATCATATGTTATAACATTCTGTCAGTCAATGACCCAGTCGATAATGTGGTACGCAACCTATGGGCGCGTTGTTCTGCCCAGGCGTTGCTGATGCATGCAAGATCGTACAACGCCTTGATAGGTATTTTACGTATCAGCTAATCGCAATCTGTCAATCGATGACGTCACACTCAACCATTGGTTGATGCATGCAACGTCTGAGCGGTGGAACACAGCCATTTTTACTGGAAACCGTAAAAACACCTGACTTCAATATGTCTAAGCCCTGACTTTTCGTAGCAGGTTAGGAGAGCATTTTCTCTAACCCTAACCCTTTTCCTAGTCTTAACCTAGGGGCTGGCCGATATAGCCAAAATATCATATCACATCTTTAACGGTATGACAGTATTTTATGTTTTTGAATAAAAAAAGTTATAAATGACCATAGGGTGGCAACAAATACATTATATGTGATTTCAATGGGGCTTTATCCATTCTGATTGCTCTGTCGTAGCCGGCCGCGACCGGGAGACCCATGGGGCGGCGCACAATTGGCCCAGCGTCGTCCAGGGTAGGGGAGGGAATGGCTGGCAGGGAGGTAACTCAGTTGGTAGAGCATGGCGTTTGCAACGCCAGGGTTGTGGGTTCGATTCCCACGGGGGGCCAGTATAAAAAATAAAAAATCTAAAAAAATTATAATGTATGCACTCACTAACTGTAAGTCGCTCTGGATAAGAGCGTCTGCTAAATGACTAAAATGTAAATGTATACTGTTCAATCTAACTTCAACCAAAAATAATTTTCTGCATTTCCTACACTTTTGTTATCATCTCCACATTGTGCCACGTAGAGCTGAATGATAAAAAATACGGGTAAACAATCTAGGCCTAGTTTATTGGTGAACTGTTGGAATCATGGAAATATAATGATTATTGTATAGCTGGAATATAGTGGGCAGCACTTTGAATACATTGTTGTTTGACATGACAACAAATGAATAAGCCAGGGAGGAATTATGGGTTCAGTGGTTCAGCCTAATGGTTCGGTTCTAGGCAATCTTGTATCTATTCCAATTCAAGCCAACCCCATGGTATTTTCTAATAGGGGGTTACCTGCTGAGCATGGCATGTTCTTATTAGAGACTCCGTCTGATCTGAAATCCCGCAGCTGCAGCTTTGGGGAAAATTGATTTTAGTGTAACTGGCTTCTGTACCAACACGGACATTCTAGTTATAACTGAATCTTGATTAAAGGAGTCTATGCCGGACTCTGGTGTGTCTCTGACTGGTTATAATGGTTTTTAGTCTGACAAAGTTGGCAGAGGAGGGGGTGCCGCCATATACATAAAGAGCCATTTAAATGTTTCTGTATCCATTACCACCTCTGCCCAAAGCAATTTGAATGTCTCGTCCTAAATGTGGGCCTTGGTGATAATGCCTGTCTGATGCTAGTGGGAATTTATCGTCATAAATTGTTATTTATGATGCAAGGTGATTTGTAGATCAGTCAGTCGGCAGTCGCCTGCAATCGTTTTGATGCTATCGAACCCTGCCACTCTTTTAACCTGCTGCGTAAAGTTCTCCTAACCTCCCACAAAAAAGTCACTTCCGTATCAAAGTGGCATTAAAATAGTGTTTCCCGTCTACCATAGCGCCCTTCGCATAGCCATGGGAATTAGGGGTGCTGAGGGTGCTGTAGCACCCCCTGAAAATATTTTTGGGGAAAAATAATTATTTTCACAAAAGTAGTGCACTGGGCCTTTAATAGTCCTGTATAGTTCCCCCTCCCCCACTTGGATCATAGTAATAACTAATTTCATGATACATTGTATTTATTGTGTTCTGTAGGAAGTTCAAATGTCATATTGGGTGCAAGGACGGACCACTCCATGACTATCTTAGACCACATTTTGCCAAACATTAAATATAAATATCACCAGTAAATACAAAATTCACTGTAAGTGTTTTGTTCACAGAATATTCACACATTGTTTTCATCAGAAGAGAAATGTGTGCAATTGTGTTCACTGTTTCCAGCAACCAGTAAATACGGTACTTCTTCACGACATTCTAAACCATCCCATCAGTGTCATACCATGTACAATATATGGAAATATCTAGGCAATGGGGACTGTCTAATTGTTATGATTTTTTACAATATTGCGGACATGCAGAGAAACAAGTGGGGTTACTTATACGTAACTTTAGGTTACTCTTAAGTCATCATCTCCAACAATGTGAACTTCCAATATAGAGCTTTGCTTTGGTGTGGATTGAGGCCTATACAGTTTTCCTACATTGTATTCACCTTTCCTAATTTCTATTGTAGATTGTTTTTCTGTAAGCCAATGGAAAGTCTACAAAACCAAACCAACCTTTGTATTGAATAAATGGAATTTGATTGTGATGATTACAAATGTGACATTCTTTACGTTTGGTTCACATTCATTTTACTTACACTAATATGTCTTTATTAACCTACATCCAATGGAGCTGGACTGCAGACACTGAATATACAGTGCATTCGGAAAGTATTCAGACCCCTTGACTTTTTCCACATTTTGTTACGTTACAGCCTTATTCTAAAATGGATTAAATACAAATGTTCCTCATCAATTTACACACAATACCCCATAATGACAAAGCGAAAAAACAGAAATACCTTATTTACATAAGTATTCAGACCCTTTGCTATAAGACTCGAAATTGAGCTCAGGTGCATCCTGTTTCCATTGATCATCCTTGAAATGTTTCAACAACTTTATTGGAGTCAACCTGTGGTCAATTGATTGTACATTATTTGGAAAGGCACACACCTGTCTATATAAGGTCCCACAGTTGACAGTGCATGTCAGAGCAAAAACCAATCCATGAAGTAGAAGGAATTGTCTGTAGAGCTCCAAGACATGATTGTGTCGAGGCACAGATCTTGGGAAGAGTACATCAACATTTTTTTGTAGCATTGAAAGTTCTCAAAAACACAGTGGCCTCCATCATTCTTAAATGGAAGAAGTTTAGAACCACCAAGACTCTTCCAAGAACTGTCCGCCCGGCCAAACTGAGCAATCGGGGGAGAAGGGCTTTGGTCAGGGAGGTGACCAAGAATCCGATGGTCACTCCGACAGAGCTCCAGAGATCCTCTGTGGAGATGGGAGAACCTTCCAGAAGGACAATCAACTCTGCAGCACTCCACCAATCAGGCCTTTATGGTAGAGTGGCCAGACGGATGCCACTCCTCAGTAAAAGGCACATGACAGCCCTCTTGGAGTTTGCCAAAAGGCACCTAAAGGAATCTCAGACCATGAGAAACAAGATTCTCTGGTCAATCAATCAATCAATCAAATTTGATTTATAAAGCCCTTTTTACATCAGCAGATGTCACAAAGTGCTATACAGAAACCCAGCCTAAAACCCCAAACAGCAAGCAATGCAGATGTAGAAGCACGGTGGCAAGGAAAAACTCCCTAGAAAGGCAGAAACCTAGGAAGAAATCTAGAGAGGAACCAGGCTCTGAGGGGTGGCGATTATACCAGTACATGGCCATTAAGGCCAGATTTTTTTCCAAGGTGTTCAAACATTCATAGATGTCCAGCAGGGTCAAATCATTTTTCATAGCCGGGCATTTAGAGGTTGAAATAGCA